ATGTTTTAACAATCAAATATTAACCAAATAAATACATATTGCGAGCAAATTTATCAACAGATTTTATTCATTTCGATATATAATAGCTGCATAGAACTAAAATTGAGTAATATCTGGAAATGTTTGAAAAATTGAAAGAAATGATAGAATAAAAGCACATCTGCAGTGCCAGCAACAGCTCTGTTCATACGCCATGGAGACGATTGCTAAACGTCACGACATTTATGTGTTTCTTTGCTTGTTATTGTTAAACCTCACAAAATTTCGTTAAAAAAATGATAAAATGTTGCCAAAAGTGATTTCGGGTCTTTCTACTTGTGAGCACCGTTCATTTACATTAATATGTACGATTTACCATGACGTATCAATAAAAAAAAATCGTTTTGATTTTCAAAAAACTTGTTGCGATGCAAATATATTCAAATGAGATTTTACAATAGGGATACAAATTATAACTGGACATGTTTTGACATATGTGCCCACTGTAATGATCGTATATGCATAACTGTCAAAAATAACTGGTCGACTATTCTTGTTGTTGTTGCTATCAGCTCGTCTCTTAATACTAAAGTTCATTTTATACCAATTCCAAAGAGGTATTTTCAAGAATTTTTTATGAAAATACTTGAACGATTGAGATTTAAATATAATAAATCAAATCATTTTATTGGTCAAATCGGTCAAAAAATTTTTTTTAAGGTATCACTTGAAATCAATCATTCAAGCTTCATCATATTAATTCAAAATATTTCTGTAGATTTCAAAAGCTCAAACATTTAAAAGATGATGTCACAAAAAGAAGATAACTATAAAGGGTATTATTTAAATCCGTTGCTTATCAATCAAACAACGATGAAAAAACTCTACGCGGATCGAGATGAGACTGGTGATGTGTCATTCGTTGTTGAATCCGAAGTAATTCGTGCACATCGCTGTGTATTGGCTACCCATAGTCCCAAGTACAAAGCTCAATTCTACGGTGTTCAACCGGATCAAGGAGAAATTCATGTGGATGGTGTATCAGCGGATGCGTTTCGGGAATTTCTCCAGTTCTTCTATTTGGATGAAGTGATTTTGACCCAAAAGAATATCGAAGATGTACTAAACTTGGCCTGTCAATCGCTGGTTAATACTTTTATTAATTATGTGTGAAGAATTTCTCAAATCTTTTTTGATAAATGATAACTACGTATTTTGCTGGTTATATCGTTTGGCGATATTATATGACTTGAAACCATTACAGAATCAATGCAAAGGACATTTTCGGCGAAAAGCCTTAGATGTATTTGCGAGCGTCGATTTTAAAAATTGTGATCGGGAGCTACTCCCAGAACTTTTGCAATAGTACTCAGGGAAATGCAAAGAAATAGACTACTTTGATGCGTGTATCGCATGGGCTGAGAATGCATGTAAGCTGGAAAATAAAGACCCAAAAAATGGTGTGAATTTACGTGCCGTTCTGGGAGATGCAATTACAAATATTCGTTTTGGTAACATGACGATTGAAAAATTTTCCGAAATTCATAGTAAATATTGTGGATTTTTTTCAACAGATGAATCCAACGAAATATTGAATATGATTGGTAAAGTGTATGGATTTAGGTCGAAACGATTCACTCAAGAATCACGAAAATTAGTTTACAAAAGTGATGAAGAACTTGAGGAAAATATGCATAACGTTCTTGAGTGTGATCGAGTAAGTTCAAAAGCGGAGAATCGTTTGGGAGGGCGGAAAGAAGATAAAATGTGGTTTTATTGTAATAAGCTTATCAAATTGCATGGTTTAGTTATTGTCACCACAAAGATTGGAAAAATAAAGATTTTAGTATCAACTTTAAATGTACCATTTGCATATTGCCCGAAATTCACTAAAAAAAGTAAAATGGATATAAAGGAAACAATAATCACATTTGATGAACCCATTTTTTATGTGCGGTCATGTTTTATACATTTAAGAATGGATTCGATGTGGAATAATAAAGATGGTTACTATGTAGAAGATACATACGATTGAATCGCATGGGACACACTTTATATTTAATCGAGTGGATCGGGATGTATAGTCGTTATGAGTAGAGTTCGCAAAAGAAGTTAAAACAAAAAAAAAAATGAATACGAAAAATTGAAAACTTTGTACAAGAAACAATTTGTAAAAAAATTAATTTAAAATTCAATAAAAAATGATTTAACATTAAAATAATTTCGAACATATATTTAAAAAAAAACCTTGTTCAGTATTTTACATATAAACAGTTTGATATTTCTTTAAACCTCACAAAATGCAGGAAAATTGTTTATTTCTTTTTGTAAAAAATGACAAAATGTTGCTAAAATTGTCCCAAATCACGTTTGAATTTCAATGTTTTTACTTACTCTACTACGTGAGCACCGTACATTAATATGAACCGGCTAAGATATTAGTGACCTCAAGAAATTTGTCAACAACTGCAACTTGCCCATACATTTTTTATATGAACATGTTGCACTTTTAATTTGACAAATTTCCTGAGCTCACGAATATTTTAACTGATTCATATGAATAACACAAAATTGTTTGTTGTTTTGATTTTCAAAAAACTTGTTGCGATGCAAATATATTCAAATAAGTTTTTACAATAGGGATACACGCTTTAACTGGACACTGTTGCGTTTGACATATGTGTCCACTGTAATGATTATATATGCATTAAGGTTGGCTGTCATTAGTTAACTGACAATTCTTCTTCCTATTGTTGTCTGCTCGTCTCTTGATACATTTAATAAACATTCCGCAGAGAGAGTTATTTTCGAACATTTTTGTTGAAAATACTTGAACGATTGAGATTTAGAAAAAATTAATCAAATCATTTTATTGCTCAAAATAGCGTAAAAAATAGTTCATTTCAAGTATCACTTCAAATTAATCATTCAAACTTCATCATATCAATTCAAAATATTTCTGTGGATTCCAAAAACTCAAACACTTAAAAGATGTCACAAGGAAAAAACTATAAAAGACATCATCTAAATCCGTTGCTTATTAATCAAACAACGATGAAAAAACTCTACGCGGATCGAGGTGAAACTGGCGATGTGTCATTTATTGTTGAGTCCGAAGTAATTCGTGCACATCGCTGTGTATTGGCTACCCACAGTCCCAAGTACAAGGCTCAATTCTACGGTGTTCAACCGGATCAAGGAGAGATTCGCGTGGATGGTGTATCAGCGGATGCGTTTCGGGAATTTCTCCAGTTCTTCTATTTAGATGAAGTTTTTTTGACCCAAAAGAATATCGAAGATGTACTAAACTTGGCCTGTCAATCGTTGGTCAATACTTTTGTTAATGTGTGTGAAGAATTTCTCAAATATTCTAGTGTTTTATTAATTGATAACTTTTGTTGGTCATATCGTTTGGCGATGCTGTATGACTTGAAGTCATTACAGAATAAATGTAGACATTTTTTTAACTATAAAACATATGCATTGAAGGTATTAGCGAATGCCGGTTTTGAAAATTGTGATCGGGAGCTACTCCCAGAACTTTTGCAATTGTACGCAGAGAAATGCAAAGAAATAGACTATTTTAATGCGTGTATCGCATGGGCTAAAACTGCGTGTAAGCTGGAAAATAAAGATCCAGAAAATGGTGTGAATTTACGTGCCGTTCTGGGAGATGCAATTACAAACATTCGTTTTGGTAACATGACGATTGAAGAATTTGCCGAAATTCATAGCAAATATGACGGATTGTTTTCAACAGATGAATCCATTGAAATAATGTATATGATTGGTAAAGTGAATGGATTCAAGTCGAAACGATTTAATCAACTATCACGAAAAGAATTCGAATTTACAGTAAAAAAGGTGGATACAATTTTTGAATGTGATCGAGTTAGTTCTAAATCCGAAGATCGTAAGGGGCTTCGAAGAGAAGAAAAGATTTGGTTTTATTGTATTAAGCTAATCAAATTACACGGTTTAGTTATTGCCACCACAAACATTGGAGATATAAAGATTTTAGTAGCATGTTCAATTGAGCATTTTGAATATTGCCCGAAATTTACAACAAAAAGTAAAACGGATACAAACGAAACAATAATCACATTTGATCAACCAATTTTTTGTACGAATTCATGTTTTATACATTTGGAAAGGGATTCCTGGTGGAATAATAAAGATGGTTACTATGTCAAAGATACGATTGAATCGCATGGGACCCATTTCATATTTAATCGAGTGGATCCGGATGGATCCGTATCATTTGTGAAACGTATTCTGTACAGTTGTCGTGAGTAGAGTTCGCAAAAGAAAATAAATCCAAAAAATTATATGCCATTTAAGATTTATAGAATTACTTTATGTACAAGATGCGATTTGTAAGAAATTAAATTTCAAACTCAATAAAAATGATTTAACATAAAAAAATTCAAACATATATATATTTTTTTAAATGAATACAATGAGTGAATCATACAATAGGAATAGTTAGCAACAATTTCAAATCAAACGGTTGTCAATATTATCCCTATCGGAAGCCCTCACCTTAAAATAGAATAAACTGAGCAATAGTAAATCGTGGAATTATTCCAATGTGTGAGGAAATTTCCAGAAAATGGGATATTTTGACACTTGATTTTTTTTTTTCTCTTATTTTGTTTTGTATACTGTCACCAATTGATACATTTACAAACGTTTTGCATAGCTATCAACAAAAAACGAATTGAATTTCTTTGTGAAAATAATTTAAATAGTTCCACTTGCGATATTTCTACTTCCAATCATCATTTCTAAGTAAAGACAGTGAAAAAACATAATTTGACCGACGATGTCTTACATGCTACAGCATTTACACAATGGTTATCAGGTCGACCAAGCAATTTTATCGGAAGAAGACCGTATTGTGGTAAGAGAAATACTTGATTTATCCCACCAAATGCAATTATTCTTTTTATTCAATTGATTTCTTTCCATTTTTCAAAATCTGATCAAAATTATTGGTGTTATTTTCGGTAGGTAATTCGTTTTGGCCACGACTGGGACCCAGCCTGCATGAAAATGGACGAGGTACTGTACAGCATTGCCGAGAAAGTGAAAAATTTTGCCGTTTTCTATTTGGTTGACATCACTGAAGTATCTGATTTCAATAAAATGTGAGTGTTTTCAATGCATTTTTGATATTCCGAAGCTGAAAAATGAATTAATAAATTTCCTATTATTCACACAGGTATGAATTATACGATCCATGTACGGTGATGTTTTTCTTCCGCAATAAGCACATCATGATCGATTTGGGAACGGGTAACAATAACAAAATCAATTGGCCACTTGAAGACAAACAAGAAATGGTTGACATCGTTGAGACCGTATATCGTGGCGCTCGTAAGGGTCGTGGTTTAGTGGTCAGCCCAAAGGATTATTCCACCAAATATCGATATTAAACAATTTTATCACCATTTTCTGTCTATATTTCATTACTGTATCTGCTAAATTGTAATTAAAATAAACAAATAACGTATCTCTTTTGAAACTCAAAAATATGTGTGAATGTTTTATTTAAATCATCGATGGCACTTGTGCCGAAAAAAAAAACATCTTAAAGACTATATATTTGTATTGGTGCGAATCGCATTCTGTGCGAATAATTTGATCAAAAAAGAGGGAGCACAGTCTCATTGACTAAATTGGAAATCATTATGATTGAGTGGAAATTTTGTATGTGCTTGTGAGTTGACATTAGTACTTGACATGCATTGAGTATTTTAGGTTGCTTTGTGTGCTCAGGCGGCTGGCTTCTTTGCTGTGGAATAAAAGAAAAAAAAATGTGTTTTTTGAATTGTACAGGAAATACAATTGAAATGTGACTAAAAATCGACTTACCTTGCCAACTGAGATAATTTGGCTGTGTGGCCGCCTCGTACTCCTGAACGAGATTATCGACCACCTCACGAGATTCATCCAATTCAGACAGATCGTCTTTGAACATATCCTCACGTCTGAAGTTATCCAAGAAAGCGCCACGCTTACGCAATTTGTCGTATTGACTTAGAACACGTTCGAATAACTGCGAATAGAGAAAACAAATTTAAGTAAAAAAATGATGACCTTAGAACGACAACTTTTTCACAAAGCCACTTTTCATCGGATCGGACACTATACTGAACTGATATCCACCTGACTTATTGTGAATAATCTTCGCCAACTGGTTACTTCATTCTTATAGAATGAAGTAACTATTGGTCTTCAACTGACTCTTATTATCAACACGAGCTATTAAATCACACCATCTGGTTGTAAGAGTCAGACATAGCTCTATCAAATAATAGTGGCGTAAGCACTGTCATATTATGTCTCTGGTTGAAATCAGTTCAGTACTCCCATCGGAACCACCAAAACATTTTTTTTATTGATTTTGAGTAAAAATGTTGTCTACTGGTGATGCACCACAAAATTCCGATACGTACCGAACAAATGCTGGTGTGATTGGCAAGCATAAGACCCGATACACGGTGGCTACTCTGAACGTATGGGCTACTGCGTGACAGTGCCACTTGAATACTTGTCGGGCCCCATGGAATGAATTGAGCCAATTTTCTCTCCCGAATTCGCTGCAATGACTTATGGACCTGTGTTGGATCCACTTCACCCTAAGATACGAAATTTTCTTGTGAATTTTTTACAACAAAATTTTTAAGAAAATCGACATTGCAGACAATTTTTTTCATCAGAACAAACCTGAATAATATTCAAAATGGAAATGTAGCAATGGTGATTTGTTTTATCAAGCGCTGTTGAGACCATCATGTTTTTCGGTTGCAGCAATCGTCGCATGACATCTAAAACCGTTGTTTTACGAATATTCACCGTTTGCTATAAAATGTCATCAAAAAATTGGTTTTAAGAAAAATCACAAATAAAAAATTAAAAATAAGAGCAACTCACATCGCTGTCAGTGGTGAGTGGAGTGTAGCCGGTCATCAAGAAATGTAATTGTGGCGTTGGAATCAATGGTGCTGTGAGGCCAATCAAATTATTGTTCATGTATGATGGATACCGGAGCGTTGTTGTGCTCACCGACATAATCGTCGATACCAAAGTGTTGATTTGTGTGAATGTCGGGTTCTATGGAGAGAGAATAAAGAGGGGAAAAATTTAATGTCTGACATTGAAAGGACTTTTGTTCAAAGCAAATGAATAGCACAATGAACATTTTAAATAGTGGCCGACCCGGTTTGATATCTAGTGGAAAAAATCGATCTGATAATCGTTCCATAATATTGACTCCATTTTAGTCCACCATATGAAAATGTTTCACTATTCATTTCACACACTCGGTGATGTGTGCTAAAATGCACGATGTTTTAAAAAGTCCGAAACGAGCACTCACCTCAATATGAAGTCGATCAGTTGCGATACGATTCAGTGCGGTATTGTCCAAAACAACGACACAATCGGCACAGCTGGTCAATCGCCGCAATGTCAAAAGTGAATTATATGGCTGAACGACGACGTCACTACAAAGACAATGGAAAAATTCAATAAAAAAAATCCAATTGATATACAACAGTGAAAAAAAGCAACAACAACAACAACGAGCATAACAAATCGACTGGTGAAAAGCCTTAATCGAATTACCTGACTTGATCTTGGTCTTGATTTGGAAACACACTGTATGTCTGTACCAATTTCTTGGGGAATCGATCTGATAATCGTTCCATGATATAGGATCCCATGCCAGAGCCAGTACCACCCGCAATCGAATGGCACAAAACAAAACCTTCTAAACTATCACTGCCGTCTGCTTCACGATCGATGATATCAAATACTTCCTCTTGCAATTTTTCACCTTGACTAAAACCAGATGCCCAATTATTACCGGCCCCGCCACCGTCTTTTGACAAATAAACGTTTTCTGGATTGTACAACTGCACGAACAAAGCACAACATTTCAGTCAATTTATTCTTATTTACAAAGCAAAAATCACTTACTTTGGCATAGGGTGAGGTCATAATTGAGTGAATGACACGCGGTTCCAAGTCCAACAACACCGATCGTGGAATGTAATGGTCATCGTCGGCCTGATAAAAAAACACATCCTTTCGATCCAGTCCAGCATCTGTTGCAAAGTCCTCAAGCGTTCCATTCGGTGATATACCATGTTCAAGACACAATCGCTTCCAAAACTCAAAACCAACTGAAAATTTCACAAAAACATTACCAACAACTCAATTATACCAATCGATAAAATGATGTGCTTACTTTGATTGCCGCATTGGCCCAGCTGCAGTGTTATCATTTCATTCGGCATTTTGATGGAATTTTATAGCGTTGCTATTTCACATAAATTCGTTCAACACAAATTCAATGACAATTTTTGACTCAATCACCAGAAAATAATTACATTGAAAAAACTACGTCGTGTTGTTGGGTTTTTTTGTTGTTTGCAAACCGTTGTGGATGCGTGCGTTCATGAAAATTACTCACATTTAAATTGTATCTATTTTTTGTAGTTTGACACTTCATACACAACAATACACACGAATTCCCGCACATTTTAGCTGTCAAACTTCGCATCGACGGTGCATGTGTCCCTATTGGTAAAATTGAACATTTCATACGAATGGGATTTTTTGAAAAGAAAAACGTTTTTTTTCTTCATTTTTTAATAAAAAAAATTGAAAATATAAAATATTTGAGTAATAATTAAGAATGGTGTATTTTTTTATATTTTCGGATAAAAAAATCGAAACTAATAAGTTGTATACTAATAAATCCAATGTATTTTGTACGTAATTTCAAATGTAAACTATCATGAATTGACATTTACACCAAATATAGTCTGCTTAACTGGAATACTATGTAATTTGAATTTTTAGCGAAAGAATACATCATTTTATATTTGATTGAAAGTAAACAATAAACAACAACATTTAATCAAAATCGAAAATTATCCTAAACTCATAGCCATATGGGATGTCCCGTTCGAATTCTAATTTGGTACGAGGGTTGCTCCATAATTTTTTTTAAAAACATATATAACACAGTTGTTTTTTGTCGAAAATGGTTTTATTGTTTTTCAAAATATTCCCCGAGATGATCGATACACTTTTGCATTCGATGAAACCATTTGTCATAGCATTCGTGCCACTCCGAAACTGATATCTCCAAAACGTGTGTTTTGAACGCTTCAACTGCTTCTTCTGGTGTCGAAAATCGTTGACCACGTAGTTTTTTCTTCACGCTTGGGAACAAAAAAAAGTCATTGGGTGCCAGGTCAGGACTGTACGGTGGATGACCCATCAGTTCGATGTTTTGACCGGTCAAAAATCGAGTAGTTTGAAAAGATGTGTGAGAGCTCGCATTATCGTGATGAAGAATTATTTTGCGACGGTGGTTGTTTTTTCTTATTTCACCAAACACTTCGGGCAAACAAATGGTGGTATACCAATCAGAATTGACGGTCTTACGATCCTCTAGTGGAACGGTTGCCACATGACCACTTCTCCCGAAAAAACAGGCGACCATTCGCTTCGAAGTGCTTCTTGCTCGAACAACTTTCGTTGAGTTATCTTCATTTTGGAAGACCCATACAGTCGACTGCTGTTTCGTTTCGGGCTCATAGGCATATATCCACGATTCGTCACCAGTGACGATTTTATTAACGTCTTTTGAAGCACCACGATTGAATTTCTTGAGCATTTCTTTACACCAACTCACACGAGCCATTTTTTGTTCATCGGTCAATTTATGTGGGATCCAACGAGAGCAAATCTTTTTTACGGCTAAATGTTCATGCAAAATTGTATGTATGCTGTGGGATGAAATGCCCAAAGATGCCTCAATCTCACGGTAGGTCACATGACGATCTTCCATAATCAGTTTTCTGACAGCATCGATGTTTTGTGGCACAACAGCCGATTTTGGACGACCTGTATGAAACTCGTCTTTGAGCGAACTACGACCGCAACGGAATTCTCGGTACCAGTTATAAATTGTCTGAAGGGTTGGTGCTTCATTGCCAAAGGCCAAATGAAGTCGATCGAAACACTGTTGTTGAGATAATTTACTTCGAAAATCGTAGTAAATCATTTTACGAAAATCTTCACGTGTAAAATTCATTTTTTTTGTTGAGTCGCAGTTTACCAGTCACTGTAAACAATACAAATAGCGTTCGTACGACAAAAGGTTCAGGGCACGAATACATACCAAAACATCAAACTTTACGAATATGACAATGGTTTACATCGGGCAACACTATAAGTACCATTTTAAAAAAAATTATGGAGCAACCTACGTATTCAAATGTTTAAATGTGAATTAATTATTATAAAACATTTATGTCAAAAACATCAAACTATTTTTTGTTTAACCGAAAGTTTTTTACTGATTTATCGTAAGGATCATGTACGTAATGTATTTGTGCTCGGTCAGTGTATCGCCTCCGGCGACGTGTAATATATGTTTTTTTCTGAGAATTTCGTTCTGTATTTTGCATGGGCGGAGGCTGTCTGCTTTTCACCTTGTCAACAATCACCTCGATGATAAATGTGATGCATGCGATTCCCGTGAGCACCGCATAGATAATCAATGGCACTTTTAGATCATTCATTTTCACAACATTTTCCGTATCAATATCGCGGAGAATTTGTTTTTCCCGAAATGTCGATACAAATTGTGAAAATGATTTGTAAAAATCAGAGAGTAGAAAACGTTGCCGCTATAGTAATACTATATTAACAGTGCCTATAAATAGTTACTATTTGTACACATTTCGATTGTGTGATCACAACAATTTTTGCGAACTCTAATGTGAACAATGCGACTCTTTGTATTTAAAATCTACATATATCTTTGTATACAAAGAGTTGCATTGTTCACATTGGAGTTCGCAAAAATTGTTGTGATCACACAATCGAAATGTGTACAAATAGTAACTATTCATAGGCACTGTTAATATAGTATTACTATAGCGGTAGTGTTTTCTACTCTCTGGTAAAAATTGAACAAACCATTTTCCACAATTGAACCGATGACATGGTTGACACTCTCTTTCACTTGCTCCGGAACATGTTTACTGGTGCTGAGTGAGAATCCGTAGTTTAAATTGCCTGAACAAAAAATGTATTCAATTTATGATTAAATCCAACGGAAGAGAGTTTTCTACTCATACCGAGACTTTCCGTCAGACCAATTTTTACACGTGTAAATTAAAAAATTCAGTTTTCGCCTACGTGTATAGTTTTACAAATCGAAAAAATTCTCTGTTTTTCATCTTTTGAGTCGAAATTTTTTGGCGTCATAATATTTCAATAATTTGAAAAAACATTTTTTCACTTCATTCTTTATAATTTATAATTATTCGGTGCTTTTCAAATACAAAGCGTGAAAGACACACAATACATGCTAGTCGTGTCATTATATAATCATAATAAAAAAATGAATGAGCCAAATTGAACAAGTACACGATAGCCTCCATCACATCAATTCATTTGCATGTGATTCAATCGATTTTTCTAATAAAATCGCCGTCGTTCGAGTTGATTTTTCAATAGTTCTAAATTGCTACGTTTTTTCCACGTTGACGCCTTGACCTTAACAGGTTTGTGTTGACTGATTCTACAGCACAATCGCAGGGTGAAATAGTAAATGAATTCCACGATGCTCAGCAGTGAAACACCCAAGAACAAACCCAGTAGACCTTCATTCCATTGTATAAGAGAAAGTGTTAAAAAAAATGAAATTTGATTTTTTTTTTAATGTACTTATTTGGTATATTTCAACACGAGTAATGTGTGAGCTTAAATTGATCATTTTTAGTGATCAGTTTTTGAATCGAAATATTTTCAAAGATACCAATTTTATAGCGGTGATTTTCAAATTTTAGAGAGAAGGTAAAATATGAATCTTTAGCACATTACTGATACACGTGTCGTTTCATACCTCCACAACTTGCAACGAAATCAGCCAATGTATACGCTTCCTTTCGATTGATTGAGATAAAATCGTTTTCTTTGAAACTTATTAGCACCCTGCTGTTGTAATTGTTCCTACGAATGAAGAAATTTTAAATAAAAATATGATTTTTTTACTATACAATATCTATGAACTAGTTTGTCATTACGTTGATTCATTGAGGGCAGCTTTTAAAGCGATTTCTTCGGCCGAATGCAGATTTTGAGCTTGAGAAATCTCTGTATCGTATGTGATCGATGTACAATCTAAAAATAAAGAGTTCAACTAATTTGAGTGTAAAAGCAAAAAGCTTGAAATGCGTAAAACATCAAGCGAAATGTCTCAAATGCACGATGAAATGCGTGAAACGCATAGTGAAATAAATGAAAAATGCAATTGACATTTTTCATTTGAAAAGCTTTTAAAATTGCCAAAAATATCGGAGTCAGTGAATTTCAACATAATTCTAATTTTAAAAGTCCCTCGTTTTGGAATTCCACTTTTTACCCCGTTATAGGTAACGTCTAGCTATGATATATGATATAATGAGATTCACATTTCATCAACGACCCCCGGCAATTACGAAATATCACAATAAAATCCCAACCTGGCAAACAGTTGCATTTTTTAACAATAAGGTTCTTGGAGAATTCATCGTCCGCATTAAAATAGCATGGATTGTCAGCAATGGTGCAGACCTTAGTTGTGTTGATTCCTAGAACAGTTACGGATTTTTCATTAAATCTTCATTTATGTGCAACCAATCACACAGTGGTATAGTTTTTGAAAAATTACTGACTTGGCATTGAAAATTTTACGCAACCACACGAAGCTAGCGTAAAATTCGCTGCACATTCAATCTACATGAAAAGGATTAAATCGAAGCAAATAAGCCACACAATCTGCTCAATATGTATTATTAAGAAAAAATAAATATCCAGATATTATGGAAATTTAATACAAACATCGCAATTTTGTTGACCATACGCATTGAAAAAACGTAATTTTCGTTCAGATTTAAAATAACATCCTGTTGAATGACAACCAAACTTAACATCGTCCTCAAGATAAATGAAAAAAAAAAAATTTAACCTCGATCTTTTGGTGAATAGTTGCGCAACCCTTTCGATGTGGTGATAACATTCGGTTTCACTGATATGTATATGTCTAAGCATGAATAAAAACGTTGATTTATTTTTGGTTGCACGAAAATGAAGAATCTTAATTACCTTGATCAACTGGAATAAAAATAAACTCGTCAGGAAGCCGGGGAAATTCATCTAAACGAAATTCCAAAACCAAAAATTATTGCCGTATTAGATTCATAAATAGAAGTTCTGCGCGTTGTGCACAATGCGATCTCGAATGCTTAGCTTTTAGAGAAGTACCTACCGGGCGTATGTAATGAAATTCGAAATCCATGCGAAAAATCATTACAATATTGATTTGGATCATCAATGGAAATGCCGAGAATAAACGCAAGCATATAACGCATTCCAGAACCAAACACCCGCTAGAATTTATTCAAAATAACATTTTATTTTCTATTTATAAAAATAAACAGCAAGATACCTTCGGATATACTTTGGACTCATCAACATTTGAATCGTAGCCACTTTCAATGTTCCAACCGCTGTTTATTTCATTCACAGTTATTAATTCGGGAGTGACGCTAAATTATACATATTCTGAGCTATAGATAAACACTGAGCGATGCTGAAAAGCAGAGAAAGAGTGAATTTGCATTTAATCTTACTCATTCGTGAAAATTTCTCGAGAGTCCAGCGAGTTGAATGTGTAGCAAACACCTTCTCCCGTAAAAATTTTCTTAAAGAACGTCAATTGGCCGATGAACGTAGAAAATTGGATGATTGAACTACGGCCGGGCTCAATTTCTTCAATCGTATTATAAACCGATTCGGTTATAGGAACGACAAGACCATCTATTAAATTTTTTAGGTCTTTATTGCATACATGCTGTACTGCATCAAAACGATTTACGCTATAATGATTTTTCGTTTGTTGGAATTGGAAGTGTCGATTAGAAGAATGAAAAAAATGAAAAAAACACCTACGTTTCTGGCGATAAATGTTCGAAAACAGTTTTGTTGGTTGTAATTTCACTCAGGAGATCGTTATAGAATTTCGTATCGACTTTATCGTGTGTAAATTTTTGAGTTGTACACACTGTTACTGCGGGAAAGGGAATTGTGGCTATCGGTGTAGTTTTATCGTCGAAACTTACAATAACAGGTCGATGATGCCAACGAGACAAAATCATAAGAATTGACATCATACACCAAGCCTGTGTCCGATTGTATGAGAGAAATAAATTTGATTCTTTCAATGAATGTAAAAATGTTTAGTTTCTTACCACTGACGACACAACACTGACGACCCACCAAAGTCTTGAAAGCACAAAATTAGACCGATTCAATTTTAAGGTGAGAAAAATTAAATTTTTCCAGTTCAACAAAAAAATAAGCAGACCCATGTTTGAGCTAATTGGTAAGTTACTGCCATTGCTGCTGATTACTAACTCATATATAGCTTTGCTTGTAACCCCCATTGACGGCAGTTGAACATTGCTTTTGATTTGCTTTGGACCGTGATCAATTTTGACCGGAGGGAAATGAATTCCCTTGTGGAAAAAAAATGACTGACTGACTATAAATTATGTCAATTTTAATCACTTTTATTCGGTTAAAATTACCGATAGATGATTGAAATCGAATATAGTCGGTTATGTTTCAGAGTTAACTAAAAGTGATTATAGTCAACATAGTTGACAAAAGTCTATTTCATATATTAGTTAACTATGATCAAGATCGACATTTCTCAACTCAAGTTACATGAAGACGCATATAGTCACTTATAGTTAACTTTAGCTGGCTGAAATATCAGCCATTTTTGTCCCAAATTAGTCAATTTATAGTCGGCCATGAAGTCGAAATAATTCCACAAGGGTTTGAGTTTGCGAAGAAGAGAAAATTTCCTTCGATTTGCTATTTTATTGGCGAATGAAACCCCCTCTTCAAATTTAGTTTACCATGGCAAACATGCGCTATGAATAGTGCGACAAAAACTCTCAATTTGTTCGTCATAATACTCGTTCAAAGCCAATACGACTTTTACTACCCGTATTAGATGAGTTCACGCTTCAGGTACACTCGGCACATCTTCGCTGCTTAGGCGAATATCAGCAGTGGAATTCATTGCGACATGGTAAAAAAACATCAAGTAGCCATATGTAAATATTTAATTCTCTTTTGTGCGAACTTTCTTTTGACTGTGTATGGCTGTGAGCAAACACATGCATTAGATGCACGACAGTTCACAGTGAACTCAACGGCTGATATTCCGTAAAGCAGCGATGATGTGCTGAGTGTACACGAAGCGTGAATTTTTCTAATACGCGTTACTGAAGTCGTATTGGCTTTAAACGAGTAGCTAGACATGGTATGATGCATGTGTACGGAGCTAGTAAACAAGTAAACAGCAATTACCAATAGCCTTGAATGACCTAGATTTGATAGTGAAATAAAAGAATATGGAAAAAGTCAACCTTTCAATCCAGTGACGTTTCGGTTCTGTAAAATACCGAATCCCATGCACCTATTAAAACCAATAAACAGATTGAATCTTTTTAGCTACAAAATTGATAAATAGATGGAAATTAAGCTTACCGTTGAATTCGAACAAAACTCCTTGAGAATTGCAATGGCAACCTACAATTATGAAAAGTATCCAAAAATGGTATGAAATATTTGGTTTGAAAAATGTTGTTTCCTTTTAATTTTATTCAATTGTCTTTAGTTCAATCACCTGACACCGGTTCTTGTCGTTCCTTTCTTTATTGGTTGTTCCAGTTGAAATACCATTCAGATGGCTCAAGTCAATGGAAATGGCTCCAACTATACGTAAATCTTGATTTTTCCTTAAAAAACCATTCACACATGTAATGATATAAACTGGTTAAAATTCTAGAAAGCTCTTACTGGTTTGGATTGCGATTCTTGAAATTCATTTTCAAAGCTGTTTTCTTTCCTTTCTGCTTTTCGATATCAAATAACATTTAGCCAATACTCCAAAAGTCGGCCAAAAATTTCAATGCGATTATGTGCAACCAAACTATTTAACTATTGTTTTTTTATCGTACCACACATTTAATATATTTAAATAATATTTGTGATGAATGCAAGTTTCACGACAGAATGGCATCAAAGCAATTTAAAATAAAGCCATTAAAGCCATACTACACGGTTTTAAAATAATTGCTTAAAATGTTATTCATGTTATTCATCATCAATGAAATCAATATGTTGCAGGGAACTGTGCATTAAAATAACGAAACACGAGCAAACGAATGAGCGATAAACATCTTAAATCCACTTTTTACGGCGGTTATCATTGCGTATAATCCAAGTTGAATCAATGGTCGTCGTTGAATTTGACGACCTTAATTTGCAGAATAAACGCAAGGTGACATAGTAAATTAGTTCGACGGCACTCAACACTGAAATGCCCATAAATAATCCGAAAATTCCGCCACAACTTGCCAGAAAACTGGACCAGGTAAATTTTTCACTTCGGATTTGCCCTATGAAGTGCTCCCGTTGAAACGTTATGAATAATTTACTTTTTGTTTCAATGCTGAAATTTCAATGATATTACTTGAAAAACTACGGTGTAAAGAAAAAAAAAAGTAAAAATGATTTGGAAATAGAGAATTGTACGCACCTCGAATTGGGTGCCAAATCTTTAGATTCATGTAAATTGATTTCGGAACCGGGACCGTGGGTTATTTCGGAATCTAAATTTGAAATGTCCATATCTCAATATAAATTGTTATTTTAATTACAAATGTGAAAATAAATCTACCGTAAACGATGGCCGTGCAGTCAGGTAGACAGTCGCAATGAGAAACAATCGACGGGTTTTCTGAATAGTTGGTAGTTCGATCAGAAATGCACGAACGTGTGTTGAAGTTGCAAATTTTTGTGTTTTTATCTCCTGCATGAAAGGGTCGTTCTTATCGATAATGATCATGAGTCATGATAAATGGCTTGGCAGTGCTTCTGGCTAGAGCTCCAAGAGAACTGACTACTTCAAAGACGGACTACTCTCGGAAGGACACATTTAAAATTACCTTTAAAGGAGGCTGCGAGTTTGTCATGCGATTTATGGTGATATTCTGGAGTCAATGGTTTCAAATGGACACATTTTGTTCATCCATCTCACTTTTAAAGGCTCAAATTTTGAAAACATCTATTTGAAACGAGCAAACAAACGGACAGATACCAAAAAAACATGAACATGTCCTTTTCTCAACTGTCCGCTCAACACCTCTGCTTTGTACATTTTCATTTTTACCATTTCCATTTGTTTGTATCAATTTTGACCAATTTGAAAAACAAATTCTCCTTTAGTATGAAGCCATTCATTTTTTTTCCGAAGCGCAATTGCAAACCAAATCACCCCCTTGGAATGCTAACTTCAGAAGCAGTGCCCAATATTTTTGTAATTTTATTTCTACAATCTACATACTTGGCATTGCAATCGAAACACATCCACATTCATGCAGTATATAATTTGCTAAACATTCCAATTCACTGCAATTATGTTCCATAAGATACTGTATAAAATGCAAAACTGTGGCACAGCTAGCGCTACTACGGACAACCATGGACTTGTAGTCAGTTGTTTGTAACTGAGAAAAAGTCTTTTCACTAGTTGTCGACAGCTTAGTATAGTTTACATTGAATTCCGTCGTGGCACTAGCTGTGTGACACTTTGGGCATAATTTCGTTACCAATTGGTTTGGCTGTAGATTTTGAAGAATTTCAATTTATGTTCGTCTTTGAAGTAACATTTTCTTGCAGCTGGTGCATATTTTCGCAAAGCAGGTAACGTTTCAATTACTGAAAATATTTAAAGAACGGCCTTCTTAGGAGGTCAATTTGTTAGGTACATAAACTGAATTACCTTGTGGTTGAAGAGAGATATAAATATCCTCTTCGAGTGGTAAAAAAAAAAAATCATCTGGCAATTGAGGTAGCTCATGTCTGGATGTAAATGATTGTATGTTATTGATTTTACATTAAAATTGTGTGCATATGTTCATTATTTACGATGTATGTAATGAAATTCGAAATCCTTGTGCATTTTCCATGCAATTCTCGCTTAAGCTGTCGATCCGATTACCCAATTCCACGGTCAAACTATAACGGAAACTTTTGCCAAACATGCGATAAGGATAAACTTCTTCAACGCCTTCCGTATAACCCTCTTCAATATTCCAGTTCGTTGAATTCGGATTATCTAGCACCGTTATCAATTCGGTTGCAATTCTGAATGAACAACAACATTTTATAGTCTGCTTTTAATCAAACGAAATTCAATGCACTTCATAGTACAATACATACGCATCACTGTAAATATCGCGTGAGTTGAGCGAATTGAATGTGTAGCAAAGACCTTCATCAGTGAAAATTGGTTTGAAAAAATCTTGCTTCTGTTGGAAAAACGTCGAAGAAATCACAACCGAATTTTTGTTGGGTCCGATTTTTTCAATTGTCTTGTAGATTGACTCAGTTCTGGACATATTCGTGAACGCATTTGACGGACCCTGATACACTTTTTGACAAATGTGATAAACGGCATCCAATTTATTTATTCTATGAATGATGAAAATAGTATATATAACTATTAGGGTGGAACATTTTTGGCACAATTTGGTGGCCACTTGGGAAAACATGTCTTATAGTCCCCAGATTCAAGATATGAAGGAATTTTGAATGGAAATGAGGTACATTTTACTGGAAAATCATGAAAAATTGCAGTGCCTCTCATTTAAAAATTTATTTATTTAATTCCAAAAAAAAATTTTTTTTTTCAAAAACAAAAGATTGAAAGTTTTGTATGGGGGCACCTTTATTTTTCAAAAGTTTTTATCAAAAGTTTTCATGGTGATTGGGTCACTGCAATTTTTCATGATTTTCCAGTAAAATGTACCTCATTTCCTTTCAAGTCGCTGTCTTAAATGGAACCGCAAGTTGAAAATTCCTTCAAATCTTGAATCTGGGGACTATAAGACATGTTTTCTCAAGTGGCCATCAAGATATGCCTCGAAATTCAAAAAAAATGTTCCACCCTAATAACTATATCTTTTATCACAGATGCGGTTGACTTACTGTTCGGGCGAAAGTTTTGATGTTTCACTTGCCGATTTTTCTGTGCTGATGAAATTTTCAATGGTTTCAATGTTTTCTTTGGTGAATTTTTGTGTTGTACAGATAGTTACAGCCGGAAATGGAATAGAACGGATGAAACGTTCTCGATCGTTAAACAACACAACCACTGGATTAGTTTGCCATTCTGACCACAATGTCCAAATCGAAAATGCACAGCACGATACAGACAGTATTAACGCAGTTTTCCACCAAAGCCTGTGTGTTGAAAAAAAAAAAAAACAATTTGAGTGGTTGAGATTTAAAGTGGAAACAGCCGAATTTCGACACGTAACTGCCTGATAAGATATAGGACCAAGCAAAAAAAACCGAAAATAAGTTACAAAATCCTTTTCCAATTACCCACACCGAAATTATGCCCCATAAGAGACTGTATAAAATGCAAAACTGTAGCACTGCTAGCGCCACTACGGACAACTATGGAGCTCTAGTCCGTTGGTTGCAACTGAGCAAAAGTCTTTTCACTATTTGGCGGCAACTTAGTGTAGATTACATTGTAATCCGTCGTGGCGCTAGCAGTGTGACAGTTTGGGCATAATTTCGGTACGCAATTACCTTTCAGTCCAATGCCGTCTGCGTTCCGTAAAATATCGGATACCGTGAACCTTTAGAATGAAAACAACAAAATGTATTATTGATTATTAAACTCGATTAGCTATTATTAATAATTGTAGATAACCGTTGAACTCGAGCAAAACTCATCGACAATTTCATACGCCATCTATAGAGGATTTAGAAATTCAGTAACTTTGACATATAGAAAAAAATCCAAAATTCTTACTTCAATTCTTTCGTCATTCGATGGCAAAGCGTTCGGAATTGTATCCAGCTCTGATATTACATCAATTATACGAGACATACTATCGTTTTTACTTTAATTAATTGAAAATTGCACCCAAAGTAAACAAATTAAATGAAAGTGAATTCAAATGAAGATATCGATTTTTACTCGTACTTACGGTGGAAGGAGACCATTTTCATTTTCAAAATTATTCATTTTCCTTGGATCCGAAAAAAGAATGTCAATAAATTGCGACTTTAAAAGTGGATATTTCCTTTAATTTTTCTTTTCACTTCAGAACGAAACTATTCTATTCTAGAAGAAGAACCAGTACAAATTGACAATGTTTGAATGCAACCGACACTGCAGAGAATTATTATTCATGAACGAGAATATATAAGGAATAAAGGAAAATTCCGTTGCAGTTGAATATGAAATATCGTAAAATATTTATAAATATAATAAACAAAGAGCACATGACAGGCACAAAATACACTCAGTAGAAGACAACAAACAAAAGAATTACTTAATATGATTTTTATTAACATATATTGTTCAAGGGCATACGTTTTAAATTGAAATTTTCAATTCACGTCGATTTTATAAAAGATATGTTCCTATTTTCACAAAATGTTTGTGTTTTGTTTGTACAGGTGCAGAATAGATTCTAAAATTGATTAAAATCAAAAAAACATCTTTTTCCAAAAACTTTATTTTCAAAACATGAATACATTAAAAAGCTGTGTACAAAAACCTTATCATAATTTCAATCTTTGTGGTGCAAAAGTTTGGTCAAAATGCTGATAGCAATTTGACTCTGAAAAATTCCGAACTGAATTTGTATTTTATTGTTTATGGATGTTTCTTATGCAAAATAAGAACGCAAATGAGTAAAAATTCACTTAAAATTCGATTCTGCGGAGAAAAATGTTGCGTGTATCATTGTCAACGGTTAAATTGGGTGTTCGTAATTTGCAGAATAAACGCAATGTGAAGTAATAAACGAGCTCGACAACTGATAACACAGAGATGCCCATGAAGAGACCAAAGAGACCACCACAATTGGCTATGAAGCCCGAATAACTATATTTTGCCATTCGCACTTTGCCAATGAAGTGTTGCTCTTTAAAAGTAACGAATAGTTTGCTATTCACATCATCGGAACTGTAAATAGATATCCATGAAATATGGTGTTGATTGCATGTGATGTTTCTCTATATATGAACACATGTTTATTGCTCTGAGAAGCAGTCTCTGATTGCACTATTACAAATTAAACATTGAATCTTACGCACCTCGTTCCAGAAGTGGATATTTCACTTGTCGTGTAACTTGAACGACCTTGTGACACCTCAAAATCTAAAAATATAGATATAAAGACAAAGCATAAAAGTGTTCGGAGTTTTAATCAATCGGAAAACGATCGATCTCTCCATTTTTCGTGGCGTCAAATCTTGGTTTTTTCTCCAAAATACCTACCCTGCACTAGGAAAAGTAAAGAGCGGGGACCTTTTGGGTCATGCATTTTTTGGAAACCAAATTACCTTCCCTAGATACGTCATTTCATACTCACCGTAAGTCAGAGTAGCACAATCTAAAAAAAAGTTAATTTAAAATTCAATAAAATCAATTGTATTGAAATTAATAAAATACCAGGCAAACAGTTGCATTCGTTGTACGAGTTCCTTGAATAATCATCGAAAGTTTTTATGTAGCAATGTATGTCGAAAATTGTGCAAATTTTCGTGCTTTTATCTCCTAAAAATGAATACACCGATTGAATCACACTTTTTTGCACTAATTTAGTTTTGATACAGCCCCATTTACATTTTCGTTAAGTAAAAAGTGTAAAAAAATTCTTGGCTTACTTGGCATTGAAAATTTGACACATCCGCAATTGGTCTTGGTGAGATTTGACAAACATTCGAGCTATTTTATTTTGTGTATGTGTGAGAGGTTTAGCGTTAAAAAGGGCGTTAAGGACTTTACAAAGTCATTTGACATTACCTCACAGCTGCTTTGTGTGTACGATTTGAAAAATCTAAGCTCACGTTCGGTGTTAAAAAAACATCCCCTTCTTGTGGGTGTATACCCACGCAATTCTTGCATGGTTGAGAATTGGTTCGGTTTAATGGAAACGAAAATATCTGAACATTTCAAAGAAGAAAGTCAATTCGTAAAATATGCAACAGCTACCAATTTGTTACCTCGTTGAATGGGAACGAACAAAAAATCGTCTGGCAACAGAGGTAATTCTGACAAAAAAAAATCAAGAATTTAATTTAAATTGAATGTTGGTGCACATTTAACGAATACCGTGTGAATCTTACCGTGAGGTGCATGCAATGATATGCGAAATCCGTCTGCAAGTGTGCTGCAATTGCGGTTGATACTTTCGATGCGTATAGAGAAAAGTGCGTGTAAAACATCGCGTGAACTGGCTCCGAACATCCTTTTTGGAAAAATGTCTGATTCTTTAATACCATGATCATAACCATTTTCTATGGACCATGTTGAATTCGGATTATCTAGAACGGTTATCAGTTCTGGCGCAATTCTAATTCGAAAAGCAAAAACTCTTTTATCACGTAAATAAAATTTGAGCGATTCACTTACTCATCTGAGTAGATTTCCCGCGAATTCAGCGAGTTGTAGGTGTAGCAAATACCTGGTAAAATTTAAATTGGAATCAGCGAAACTAAAATAAACTTAAGCTTAATTTCTCACCTTCGGCTGTAATGATTTCTTTGAATTTCACCATGTCATCGAAAAATTTCGAGAATAGGACAATTATTTCTGGGCTAATGAGAAAGTAAAGAATTTTCTAAGGAGTTATAATAATTTCTAAGGGGTAATAATAATGAGAAACTAGTATCGTTGATTGTTAACCTAATCTCGTTAATCGTTTTGTAAATGGATTCAGATCGATTAACTAGCGGATGGATCGGGAGATCCAAAACATTTTGGAAATTACTGCATATGTGAGATACAGCGTCCAACTTATTCATTCTAGAAAATTAAAGGAATTGATTACAAAAATGCACGGCAGATACGAAAAAAAAGCTAAAGTAGTGATTACTTATCAGGTGTGATATTGGAGAAAAATTTGTCGGTGAAATTGGTTACGATCAAACCATTATATTCTTCACTTTCGAATATCTCTTTGCGGAATTTGTTGGTACTGCACACGGTTACAGCTGTTAAATAAATGCCAGTTAACGTGGAGCTTTAACCTAGAGTTACTTAAAAACTCACCTGGAAAGGGAATTTCTTGAATTGATGTGGTTTTGTCATTAAATGACACAATCACAGGTCTACTTTGCCAATCCTGCCAAATCGTAAGGATCGAATACGAACACCAACCGACAGAACACGCAAATGCAATTATCCACCACAATCTGTTTAATTTATTATAGATTCGTTTAGGTTCGTGTTTAAGTCGTTTTTTTGTTATTTCAGAGCTTTTAAAGCATTCGTGATCAAATTGCATGTCCTTCATTTTCATTGGATTTCAATAATTATTACAAAGCAGGAAGTTGCGCCTACCCGCCATTAATTTTGCGTAATCCCTTTCGATTTGACAGGGATTTTCGAAAAAAAAGTTGAAGACCCTTTTTTCGAAGTCAATTTTTCGGAGATGGGAAAAAGAAATTTCTAGGGGGTTTGAAAGTGTTTGGTGATGTCTTCAACTTCAAAAATCACGAATACAAACGAAAGTACATTAAAACATGCAGAGCTATGGAGTAGACATAAGCTCGAAAAAGTAGCCTTTGGCAATAGTAAGACCCGTGTCTCTTTTTTAGATGCTAGTAGCGGCGTGAGTGGTAATTTCATGCTCAGAAAAGAATTTTTTGAAAACTGATTCGAATCATTATGGAGTCCGACTATACTTCACGTTAGAAGCTTCAGAAAGTCAATTTTCAGAAACATTTATTCATCTTACCTCTCGGTCCAATGATGTTTGCGTTCCGTAATGTATCGGATGCCATGAACCTTGAAGAATGAAAATGAGTTAATTATATAAAACTCGATTAACTATTATTAATATTTATAAATAACCGTTGAATTCGAGCAAAACTCATCGACGATTTCATATGCCATCTGCAGAATCATAATAATCCAGATTAATTTTTGTTATATATAGCAAGAGAAAATACTAAAATGCTTACATCAATTCGAGTTTCTTCTTTAATCAATGGCAAAGCATTCGGCATGGCATTCAATTCGGAATTCAATTCATTTGATATTGCGCCAATTATGCATATTTCCTCTTTATGTCTATAAAAATGATTTATTGAAAATCGCATCGAAATACCGAAAAATTTGTACTTACGACACAGATTACCTGTTTTCATTTTCTTGGTGTTTCATTTTCCTTGATTTGGTCGACAATCGATTTTTTGTACCTTTTGTGAAAATTGTGAATTGTGTATAACAAATATTCAACCGGACCAAGTACAATTACAACTGTTGAATAGGGGAAGAGGTGGCGGTTTTAAATACAATTTAAACTCAAACATTGCGAGCTATTTTTAAAAAAATCAACAAAGAACCGAATTACTTAATACGATTTTTACGACTGAGTTGACGTTCACTTTATTCGGTTGATGTAGATCAAGAAGACAACTCTTTTTTAACTGCACGAAGTGATGGAAATCGTTCGAATTTATTTACAGTAGCTTGCAGGTGTTCTTTATTTACATTTTAACGGAGTGAAAAACTAGAAAAAGCGATAAGACACTTTCATGGTTGAATGAATGTAATGTGAACTTTACCTTGAAAATAAATCCATTTGGTGGTGCCAGAAATAGTGAAGGGGGGAATCCGTGGAGTCATAGAGGGTAAAGGTCTTTTTATAAAATTGAATATTGATAATTTTTTGTTGAAATATATTTCATTAATATTTTCGTTGTTCGAGTTGATTTTTCATGTTTTCCCAGTGGTTGGTTTTGTGCAAAACAGTTGCATGCGTTGTGATTGGTTTTTGTTTTCTGACTTTACAGCACAATCGAAGCGTGAAGTAGTAAATGAGCTCGATAATGCTCAATACTGAAATGCCCATAAATAATCCAAGTAAACCGCCACACGTCGCCATGAAATCTGTACGAAAGAAATCAGTTTTAAATACAATAAGTGAAGGTGTCATTTTCAAACAAAATCTATGTTGCAAACGTAATCAAATTCGATCAAAATAAGACTAGAGAGCATTATTCATTATTTCTGTTCGTTTTGCTCTGCGACAACAAAATATTTTTATCTCATTGATTTTGTATGCGATTTTGCAAACAAATGTTGTCGTTCATACATAGGCACAAGGGGGGTGTAACCTACAACCTTAAATTTTCCAACCTAAGCCCACAATAAAATTCTTCCGATCGTTTTAGAATCAAAATTCTCCTTTTTCCAGGGTTTTTGGATGAGATTCTTTCGATTTGTTTGATAGGCGGATGGCCACCTCTCAACTTGCCTATCGTGACAACCCCCTTGACTTGCCTGCCCATGTATGCTGTTACTTGCACTCCTAAAAATGATGACAATAACTTCCTCCGAAAGGCATACCTGTCCAAGTCGAAGCCTCGGTCCGATTAATCTTGATGAATTGATGTTCTTTGAACGAAATTCGAACCTTGCTTTCATAATCAAAGCTAAAGAAAAGTAAAATAAATAAAAATCACTTCCAAAGATGTATGCTAAATAGTATCACTTAGATTGATTGCGAGTTATTTCATCGGCCGAATGTAGGTTTTGAGCTTGTGATACTTCGATAGAGTATGTGATCGATGTGCAGTCTGGCAATGGTAAGTTTAACAATTTTCAATGAAAAAACTCATTATTTATGCCATTTTTGGCAGAGATTTCAAGAATTACCTGGCAGACAGTTGCACCTCTTGCAGAGCATAAAATTTACAAAGAGTGTTTGTGAAAAACAAACATTAAAAAAAGTGAGAAAAAAAATGTAATACCTTTACAAGAAGTTTCTTCGAAAATTCATCATCCGCTTCATTGTAGCATGGATTATCAATAATTGTACATACTTTTGTTGAATGTCTTCCTAAAATATGTTTGAATGTGACTGTTTTCTATGTCATTTCAATATATAACATTTTACTTTTCCGCACACACCTAGTGTGTAAGGTAAAGTATTGGAATCGGTCGAAAAATTAACACCCTCAAAAAACATGTTTTCTGGGTGTTTTAGGAGCCAGGAAACACGAATCTAGCATTTTTCCAATGTCCGAATGTATGTGCGTGGTACCCTGTACGCTGTACGCTGTACGCTGTACGCTGTACCCTGTACGCAAAAATTTGTTAACACGATAACTTTCAAACAAGAAAAGTAATTCAAAATCTGACTTCACAGGATGATTGGGGGTGCCGAGGAATAGAAACCATTAGATTTTGAGCGACTTTGGTTGACAGAGTAAAGTGTCATGTCTGGTGTAATGCCCATGGCCATCCATGGGAAAAATTCAATTTTCCCCCCAAAAGTGATATTTAATGTATTCTTAAACACTCAAAAATATGTATTGGGCGGTTTTTGGGTACGAGAAAACCGAATATGACGCTAGTTTTGCGATACAAATATATTTCGACACACTTTTCATACAAAAATTTCAAAAAATTTGGATTTTTGTATGGAAGCCATGCCTGTATGATATCGTAATGAGCTGAAACTTAGCACAGGGCCGGTATTCTAGAACAATCCACAAAAATCGTTCGGAATCATTTGTTTATATAAACAACTCAGCTCAGTGAAAACAATAAAAATTATTGTTATAATTATATTAACACTCACATTACTACAATCACTATAACAACCACTTCTATTGTTTTCAGTCCGATTTAGCGCCTGACTGTAGCTAATATTTTGAGTGTGTAACAATTTTTTTTATATTTTCAATGTTTGGCGACAAATGTAGAGCTCTATTAAAGTTATATTTTGGTACTTTTGGTGTACATATTTGACGCCAAACGTTGAAAAGACAAAAAAATATAAGTTTCAAATGAATAGTCCGCTCAATATATTGTCGGAATAATTCCACTGTTGAAAGAGGTGTCGGAATAATTCCGAACAAAATAAGTGGAATATTGTTTATTTTTTTTTGTCTTATGAATAACGACTATTATTCTCGTTATCTGCTACAATATTATTCAAAACAATATTCATTCATAGAAATATGTTTTTCGGAATAATTCCGAACAAATTGATCGGAAAGTGGCATTAGAATACCGGCCCAGGTTATTTTTATCATACAAAAATACCATTTCGAGAGTTTGAAAACATTTCAACGCATATTAGGGGTACCACCCGAACAAAATTTTGGATTTTTCGCTCAAAAACGAAATGTTGTATGGGAAGTACCCTTAATATGCATTGAAATTTCTTCAAACTTTCGGAATGTCAGCCTTTTGTGAAAACATAACCTTTTGAAAATTTTCACATGATTACGATATCATATAGGCATGGCTGCGATACAAAAATTCTCATTTTTAGTAGTTTTTGTATGAAAAGTGCTTCGAAAATTATTTGTATCTTAAAACTAATGTCAGGTTCAGTTTTCTCGTGAATTCTTTGAGTAAAAGATTTGTAATAAATGCATGGTGTGGATCACGGTGCGGAAAAGTTCATCTTACGGATGTAAGACATTTTATTGCTTACTTGGCATTGAAAATTTAACACATCCGCATTTGATATTGGTGAAGTTTGCTCCACACTCAATTTCACAGTGACGCTGTGAGTATTCTCTAAAAAAACGTAAATAACGTTCGGACTTGAAATAACATCCTCTTTCTTTCGGCGAGTAGCTGCGCAAACCATTTGAAGTTGTAATGACTGATGGTTTTACTGAAATGTAAGTTTCTTGGTCGACCGGGATGAAAATAAATTCTTCTTGCAATTTTGGTAATTCATCTATCAAATTACAAAACCATATTAGAATAATTAAAGAATTTCTGAGCGTTGTGAACTCGAATGATTTGATATCGGAAAAGTACCTACCGGGCATATGTAACGAAATTCGAAATCCGTGTGATAATTCACTGCAAAACTGATAAGAACTATCAATGGAAATTCCAAGAAAAGTGAGGAAAGTGTGGCGCGAACCAGATCCAAACAATCGCAACGGATATATGTTATGCTCTTCCACATTTGAATCATAACCATTTTCCCGACTCCAATGTTTTACTTCTAGACTTAAATTCACTGTCAACAAATCAGGTGTTATTCTGTATGACAAACAAAAAACCAATACAGCAATGCAAAGGAGTAATCAATTTGAAATGCATACTCATCGACTCTGTAAATGTCGCTCGAGTTCAGCGAGTTGAATGTGTAGCAAATTCCTTCTCCGGTGAAAATTTTGTGAAAGAACACCAGCTGTCCCATGAAAGTGGAAAATTGGATGATTGAATTACGGTCGGGGCTAATATCTTCGATCGTATTATAGATCGATTCAGTGATTGGAAAGAGAATAGAATCAACCAAATTTCTCATGTCTTTCAAGCACAAATGCATCACGGCATCAAATCGGTTTAAACTGTTGCAGAGAAAACATGTAATAATTAAATTAAGATAGAATATAGCACCTGACCAAAGGTCCCAAGGGCCAGATTTCGGCTTCACTTTTTTCAATTCGATTCTTCGATTTTTACTCCAATTGGATAGCCAAATTCAGAAGCTATACTATACACAGAAACAAGTATTTGAGTACGCTTACTCGCACTTTACCCCTCAAAATGAGTTACGCACTCTATTTAACTCTATTTTTGGTGTTAGCTTCATCGAACGTATGTGACGATACACTTAGGAATCATATTCGTTAGCGTATACGCAGACTCATATGCACGCAACGAAACATAACTCGTTGATCGCATGCGGCAACGTACATATGAATGGGGTAGAATAAAAATTACTTCTCGAAAAATTGCTATTTTAAAACGAAACCTAAAAAAAATTTCAATAAAAAGTGAATCAATTTTTTTTTGTCCAATTGAAGTGAATCAAGAAAATTTTGTTCAATAAAAGTGAACCAAAAAAAAAATTTCACTCGTTTTTTTCAGTGTAAAATACACTAAAAT